TCCATAATGAAATACTTTACTCTTTACATATCTTACATTCTCAGCCTCTACTATTCTCATACATTATGTTGTTCATTTTCAAAATTTGTAATGATCTTCTTAAGTATTTACTTATCTATTTACGTTTCATTTACTTTCATATTTCTTTAGGTATTATGTATTTATATATTTAATTTTCTTCAATTTTTATTATATAATTCTCAAAATTTTGATACTTTATTTGACTTCATATATAACAACATTGTATTTATATTATTCTAAATTTTTAACTTTATTTATTTTATCTATTATGCTTATTATTTATTATTTATTTCTTGATATTTAATTTTTATTATGTAATTATCAAAATTCTAAAATTTTATTGTATTTTACATAACAACACAGTTGGTAGCTAATTCCATCAGTTGAGCGTAAAAGCTGAATGTCTTAAAGGCGGTGCAGCTGCTCATCTGATGGTAAATAAATAAATAATTCCTTATAACCTTATAGCCATCTAGTGCAAAATATTACGTTTTCATATGCGTAGAAGGGTAGATAAATAAACATTATCAAACAAAAAATGTCATGTAATTTTATGCAAAGGGGCATTAAACATGATGTACCTAATAAAGAATCTGAGAATAAAAAAAATTGCTTTAAAGTTAATAGTGCTCAATAGGTCAACAATGTGATCCTTAAGAAGACGCATTAACTCAGGGTATAATAAAAACCCTTTAATACCGCCGCAAGGTACTTCTTGAAATCCAACACACAGACCTTTCTCCATTATCACCAGTTTAAGTAGCCTATTCATTCAATTTTCCTTTACAAAACGTCACGTTTCAAAGATTGAATGAAATCCCTCTTTACGTAAAAATTATAATATGAATATTTTTCATGCATGTGAGATACAAACATTTTTGTTTTTTCTGTAGTCTCTTAAGCATTCATTTTTAAAGCCTTAAAAATTATCTCATTTACGCAAACTTCATTTTATGCTCATTTTTGACAAAAAAATATTGTAAGAATTTCAATAGAGGCCTGTTTTAAGTTAATTTAACGTTGTATTTAGGCTAGTGTTCTTCAAATTTTATCAACTGTGGGAAGGTTAAGGTAAAATGTAAAGTAAAGTAAATGTTTTCAAGAAAGCATTTAGTAATTTCCTACACTGATGATGCATCTCAAATTTTACAGAATGACAGTATGAATAAGTTTATGCATAACTTTCTTAAGAATATATAAAGCGTATCTGATGAAGCTGTATGAAAGTCCGCCGAAAATATCGCGGAAGAAAACGTCGCAGAGAAAACAACGCAAGAAAACAAACTCGTCCTACAAAACATCGCAGTTTTAAAAGATCGTGATAGAAAACAAAGCGGTGCAAAACCTTCATAGATCTAAAACATTATCGTAGAAGATATTATAGTAAAAATTAAAGCATCTACAAACCATCGCATCATGGTAACATCGCAGATATATTTTTTCGGCTAGCAAAAGTTTAAGTAAGTAAATTTTCGCGTGCTGATCTGTGAGCACAAAAAGAAGTAAGTAATACTAATTCAGAAGTCAAACAACAAAAATCAGCGTTATATTTACAAAATTTTCACAAGACTAGTTTCGATGGTTTTACCGAACCACCATCTTCAGCTGCAAAACCGCAAATGAACAAGATAGGAAATAATGATTAGATAAGATAAGAAAGCCTGGACAAGAATAAGCAAGTGGCGCCATCTGTTGGTGAAACCAGAACTAAAACATAATTTCTTTAAAGGCCGAAGGCAAATTTGGATTGGAATTAGGATCGTTAACTAGAACAGAAAGATTTTATGAATGTGAAATGCCTCTAGAAAATCCAGTTCTCCAATGGAAGATGTTTTTTGAATAATTTTGGCAGCAAAAAACTGAAAGTGTGGTTTTCGGACCAACAATGTTGAGCAACAGAAGATTTCTGTGTTTCCTTTTATCTAACATATGCCTCATGTTCCTTGACGCGAAATGTTAAGGCTCTCTTAGTTTAGCCAATGTAAATTAAACCACACTGGCAAGGAATCCTATAAATACCCCAGGAATTCATATCCGGAATGGGGTCCTTGAGTATGGAACTCGGAATTTTATTGATGGTAGAATAAACAACCCGAAAGTTAAATTTCTGCAAAATATGTGCAACTTTATAGCTAATTAATGGAAAGAAGGGAATGACAACAGAATTTTTATAATCTCCTAAAACAAGAGTGTACTTTTTAGTGTGACTTACGTAGACGATACTAGTATTTATTCGGCGTGTTATTGTGTCTTAAGTAAGTAATATTTTCAGCTCTATACTTCAGCTTTTTGTACCGACTAATAAAATTTATTAAAAGAGCAAGAAGAAAACGTTAGTATAGGTAATTAATAGTGTGTGTGTGTGATTATGGCAAAGCCTCGAGGGCTATCTGCCTAAGGGGAGGGATGCCTTCGTGGAGGACTTTCTAAGGGAAACTGGCTCTTATACGCGTTACACATGGGGAAAACCACGAAAACGCCCATGCAGCCAGCCCGTTCGCGGGATTCGAACCTAACTACCAGTGTTCAGCGACTTTACCGCTCGGCCGCTGATGGGCCCGGTAATTAATAGAAATTAATGAAATGTTAAACTTTCGCATATTCCTCTTTCTTATCTTTTTATACCATATTTTTTCATGAAAATCTACTAAAATGTCTTTATAAAAGAGGTTAATTAAATAATGACTTTTAATAATTAGCAGCATAAATTAAAAATTTTATTGACGCTATAGTTAGCATTAAATTTTGCTCATTTCCAGATTTTTAATGCTTAAATTTCCTTCTTGCTTCTAATTAATACAAAAATAGGAAATATAGAGATAAAAAAGTTCTTGACTTCTTCTCGTGCTCATAAATCGCTATGAGAGAATATATATTTAAAACTTTGATGCTGCTTGTGTATCGAATTACTTGAAATGTTTTTCTCTGTCGAATAATATTTTATTTTTTTAAAGCAAAGTAATCACATTAATTAGAATATTTTTGTCTATTGAAATACTGTTTTACTGTTTTTACAGTGATTTAAATGTCTAATATTACCAATATGAAGTTTGGTCACCCTTGAGCGGCTCCTGAACTAAGCTTTGACTAAAACAACTGAAAATCCCGGCAAGGTCACAGTTAATTTATCATGATTCCTGTCCTCGATAAACCTAGGATGTCTGCATAAGTAGAAGGTCGCTAAAAAGTACTAATGCGCTTTTAAAACCAAAGACAGAATAATGCTTCCTAATAACACGAATTATTGCTACTTATCAAAACAACAACTTACGAATTAATTTTATTTGATTATAAAGGTATATATGCCTAAGAGAAGGGATGCCTTCGTGGAGGACGTTTTAAGAGAAATGTCTCCTATTCACTTTACACTTTACACATTAGGAAAACTACGAGAACGTCCATATAGCCAGTCCGTTCGCCTGAAAATGAAGACGGGTCAAACTACCAGCGTTCAGCGGCATTATCGCTGTGGCGAATGAAATTAAAGCATCTATTAAAATCGAAGGATTCTCAAGTAAAATTCTTCATCGATATAAGCTCATTTTTTTCACCAAGTTCATTATTTTTACACATGGGGAGGATGGAAATTTATCTCGTCAATACTTGAACAAAAGTATAATTTTTGCTTGTTAAATTTATTTTTTGCAGTCATCTGATAGGTATTTTTTGTTTCAATTTCTCTAACTTTCATTGTAATCACTTTTGTCATGTTTTTAACTTCAGGCGGAAAATCGAAGTTTTGATGTAAAAAACTTAGATTTGTTATTTAAAAGTCAATATCTGAGAGATATTCTGGTTACTTGCTCATATTGAGCGTCATACTAAAGAATACATATTTCACAGTCAAATCAATCAAATAATTTAGAACGTAATAAAAATGTTCTGTTTTTATAGGTAGTAACAATTAAGAATTAATGGGAGTAATGTTCTTAAACACTATTAATGTATTTCTCCCACTTCCCTAGCGTGCCTTCGTAGTGTAACGGTAGCACGCTGGGCCGGTATTCCAGAGGTCCGTGGTTCGATTCCCGGCGAAGGCGGTTGCATATTTTTCATCACTCCGCCCCCCCCCAAAATCCTAATGTCTCTACAAGTGGCGTCCGAACTAAAAGGGTTGTGGATGATGATTCTACGCACCCAGGATTTGGCGACTCGGTCCCCTAAAACACTAGTCGCCCTTTAAAAAGGGGAGTATATAAGGTATTTCTCCCACTTCCCTAGCGTGCCTTCGTGTAACGGTAGCAAGCTGGGCCTGTATTCCAGAGGTCCGTGGTTCGATTCCCGGCGAAGGTGGTTGCTATTTTTCATCTTTTCTGCTTCCAATTAACCTAATGACTCTACACACTTTTCCTTGGTTTCTACTGAAATAAATTTAACGAATTCTTGATTTCATTGCGGAATTAAAATTTAAGTTTCTGCATTAAAGCAATCGTTTCCTATTGCATGATTTTAATAAAAATTTAACGAGGACCTCGAACTACCCCCGCAACACTCTCATATATACTTGCGCAAATTTACCACTAAAATCCGTGTTGCTAAGAGATCATTAGAACAAATACAAATAGAAATATCATACGGGTGAAAATGTGGTTTCAAATTTAGGAACCAAAGCTCTGTAAAATTTATATTTAGTATACAGTTATAGAAAGTAAAATGGCTTTGAAGTATAATGTGAGAGAAAATTTAGATTCAGTTTCACAAGAGCTGTTGCCAATTTTAGAAACTCAATTTCTTTCCACTAACAGAAAATATAACTGTATTTAAATTTATTTAAATGGATTCATTCGTTTAGGACCAGAATATTACTCAGCAAGCATAGAAAATTTTCTCTGTTTCCATTCGAAAGAATAAGTACACTTTCAGAACTTCGTAATCCTGAAATTTCGCGAGTAAGAATTTACGTCTAGATAAATCACGGTTTGTGAGAATATTCTAACTTGTGAGAAAGCTAAAAAAATTGCGAAGGCATGCACACCTACTCTGGCCTCTCCGAATTCTCTTGGAAGGGGGGTGCTGTGTCCGATGGACTAGCCATTCGAGCCTCCATCAGGCGCTTTCGACCCATCGACTGGAGAATTTCCTGAAATAAAAAAACACGATATAGTGAGAACAGAATGACTGTAGTAGGATTTGTTTGCAATTTTATTGACCAGTAGAGTGTTATAAGACCTTTTTTCCTAACTGTGCCAGAAGAACGGGAAAAAAAAAAGAAAATTTGATAGCTTTCAGATTTTATATTACGACAAAAGGGCATTTTCTTAACGTTTTGTCTGTTACCTTTATTTACTAAACTAGCAGCTTCGCTGCCAGCCTTTGTCTGGCTTTTAAATATACCGGAAAAATGGCTGAAGGGAACACCAAACGTTAAATTTAAAAACTGCGTAGAATTTTACTCTGCAGAACAACTTCATAAAAAAAGTTATTAGTTAAAAAAAGTTATTACAATGAAATAAGCAATATCCCTTAATGCAAATATTAATTATCCTAATAAATAAATTAACCAACTTCCCTTTGCAAAATCTTAAAGAACTCGAATGGTATAAAGGAGGTTAAGAACTTTGTTTCCTAAAAAAATCACTCAAAACTTTTCAATATCTTAAAAACAGTGAAATGAGCAATAAATAACATAAAAGAATACAAAAAACAAAAAATTCTGAAAAGCAAAGTATAATTAATGATATTTTATCTTATATTTTCAAGAGGAAAAAATTACAATGAAATAAGCTATATCCCTTAATGCAAATATTAATTATCCTAATAAAAAAATTAACCAACTTTCCGTTGAAGAAAAAATAAATCATGCAAAACTTTTCAATGTCTTACAAACAATGAAATAAGCAAAAAATAACATGAAAGCAACTCAAAAAACATAAAACTCCGCACAGAATTTTACTCTGCAAAACAACTTTATAAAAAAAATGTATTATATATATATATAAATGACAATGAAATATGCTAATCTGTTAAAAACAGTGACATAAGAAATACGATGAAAAATTGTTGCCAAACCCATATTTCTAAAAGAATGAAACTGTTCAAAATGATGCGATTTCATCAAAAATCTATCAACAACAATAAGACAGGAAAATTGTTGCCAACTCAAGGATGAAAGTTTAACGTGTCCAAAAATTAAAGAAAAATAAACTGCACTTTTTAAAAATAAACTTTTTTTAGAAAAATCCCGTTGAAAAGATGTTAAACTCCATTTTTTAAATAAATTCGTATTTAATCTATTTATTGAAACATGAAATTTATTTTAAGTTCGTAAAATAGCTAAGTGCCTACGTTCATGATGATGTGAAAATGGAGTGTGTAGAGTAAAATCTCGCTTTGCTATAGCCCATTATGTCTCAAAATGACGCGATTTCGTCACAAAACATAAAATTTGAAAAAAAAAAAAAAAAAAAAACATAAAATAAAAAAATTCGAATTTCGAAAAAATCGCTTTGAGGTGCACTGGCTCTTGTCTAGATGCACCTATGTAACAAATTTCGTAGCTGTGGGTCTATTAGCTTACGCGCAGCGCGAACGAAAAACACACACACACAGACAGACTCTTTCTTTTATTATATGTAGAGATATTACGTTCTTCGTACTTAAACCATATAATATTCAATTGAACAGCAATATAACAAAATATTTAGAATCAGGAAAACAGCATATCTTTAGAATTTCTGATACATAGTCTAGCGCGTTGGAGATAAAAATGTTTTTCCCATTGCTCGCTTTGAAATCGTTACTCATAAATTCGTTAAAGGTTTACAAAATTTGAAACAGATAAAAAACGAATTCGAAATTCGTGCCTCAAAGTGCCCATGTTCGGGTGGAGGACAACGTTATTCAAATCTGGATGGATCTAGGTACCATTGTTTTTTCACAATGCGAGAAATATTCATGCATTCATGAAGATTCTTTATTATTTAGTTTCTTTAAATATAATACACAGCGATAAAATTTGGTGGCAACACTTTGAAAAGTGAACCAACGCAGAAAGTGAAACGACGCAAAATACCGTTTTGAGACATAGCACTTTGGGTTAAAAGTTTTCCTCTTCCAAACGATTTTAGGAGCATTACTTAGGTCGTTGTTTTATCATTTCTTCTAGCTGCATCAGATACAACCAAACTGCGGTGTTTGGCCTTTTAAATCTGGTTTGCGTATTCACAATCAATAGTTTTATTTTTAAAACGGAATTCATGCCACGGCATTTTATTTTAACAACCAGTTATTTCGTTTCTAAAAAGCTGCTTTACATGCATAATAAATTTAAATAATTTCAAAATGTGTTTCATTTCTGCGACTAAATAATGTAGCGATATTAGTATTTTTAACACAGATGATGTCTATCAAGACAGCTGAAAACGTAAATGCATTAATAACAGGCTGTATTAACGATGCACACTGCGGGGGGAAAATTGAGACAGTTCTATATCTCCCGTTCTACTTGGCCGATTAAGGAAATTCAACTTGCATTTTTCATGTCTCGAAAGTGCGACTTAGGATATGTATTGGATTTATATACAGCATTGTTCTAATATATGTATTTTGACACAAAATCGGACATTTTTCTGAAATGATGTACCAATGTTTTTACATATGTCGATTCTACAGCTCAAATTATGCAAAACTGCGAAGTTTTGTAAGAATAGCACAAGTAGTTTTTAAAAAGTTAGCTCTCAAAATTTTAGCGCTTCAGTGTTAATTGAATTTTATATATACTTAATAATCTCTCTTTTTTTATTAAACTTACTTCATTCCTTCTTCCAGAATTCGAAATTTAAGCTTAATTCAAATATAAATAGCACATTTTTTTATGATTTTTTTTTAAAATTTGTGTATATAAATATTTTTTATAATTTTTTTTGAAAATATTTTTGTATTATAACCTATAAAATTTTTAACATTGTCTTAAAGTAGATGCATTTCGAGGCACACCTGCAAAAAATCCGAAATTTTTATTCAAAATTTTCTAAGACATATATGAATTCACATATGGGAGTGTTTTGAAATTTGACACCTTTTTTTTGAGCGATAATAACGCCAAATTTTACGCACTTTGTTAAAATTATTTGAAAGTTTAAACGATGACTTTTTTCCCGCTCTTCTACAGTGAAGAAAAGAAAAACTACGCCAAGATAAATTTTCGAATTTCTCCGTAAATTTCGCTCCAGATTTTACAAAATTTAATATTTAGGCATAATTTGAGTCGTAGAATCGAAATATGGAAAAAGAAATGGGCATGTCACTTCAGAAAAAGTCCGATTTTGTGTCAAAATAGCTATGTTAGAACAATGCTATATATAAATCTGATATATATCCTAAGTCGCGCTTTCGAGACATGAAAAATGCGATTTGAATTTCGTCAGTTGGCCCAGTAGAACGGGAGATATAGAACTGTCCCATTTTTTTTACGCAGTGTACCTCAAATCTTAACAAATGACACTACGAAAATATGTTACATCGTAACTTGCCTTGGAAATCATAAAAGCATGTATGAGCTCATGTATGAGCTGATGACCAGACTGCATTTGGACTGCATTTGGATGACCAGACTGCACAAGGAATTGGGCTTTCCTTTGCGGGTGCCTTCGGGCTGTACTTATAGAAACATCCAGCTGGCACCGGAATGTCGAATCCTGGGAAGCATATTTCACAAGTGCACATCACCATAGCCACTGAGAGAGGGGTTTCGAAAATGGACCAATGAGCTGCTACTGCTCTTGTGACGCTAAAATCTTCGTGCATGTGAGCGTATGTTGTTTACGTTTTAATTTGCATTTGCTTCGCAGTTATAAATATATGACGTTAATAGTAGAAATCTTATTGTGATTTCTTTTTCTAAGTTTAATTAATCGCTGACATTTCACTTTCGCGATTTTTATTACGCATTAATATTTGGATTGATATTCACGGCATATTATGTGGATTAATAGAATTCAAGTGTATATTATTTTAATTGAGCTGAGAAGACTGAAACGGTTACAATGAATCTAATGTCTTCTTTCTTCAGTGCTTGCATTCTTTTGATTTTTAAAGTGTAAGATTCAGAATACATATGATCTGATTATATCCATTGCTAACATTAAAAATTATATGTAAATAAATTGAATATATTCATTGTGAATAAGATAAGTTCACTATGTTTGATGAGTATTTCTTGTGTAGACAGTACATTTAAGAGCCAGTTATTAAATGTGAAATTTAGCACACTAAATGTGTAAGAATGCAAATTAGTAAAGTTCACTTTGAATAACATTCTGCATTGGTTATTATTATTATAGAACATCTTTTCCATATAGACTGCAATAAAAAGTGCTGACTTCTATTTACTATATGTAACTGGTGTCAATATTTTTTCTCATACGCATAGTTTTATGTAAAGATAGCATTTGGGCTCAGAAGTTTATCACATATTTCTTTCTTCATCTTATTACCACTTATTAGTAAATTTCATATGGATATTTTTGGGGAGTATCCAACATGTGTTTGTATTTTTTTCAAATTCTTTCAATCAGGTAGGGAAATCTTCACAATTGTTTATCTTTGATCTAACTTTTGCAATGAAAATTTTCAAAAGAAATGAGGCGATGCTTTAATTATTTTGTAACAGAAAATTGCGTGGTAGAATATTTTCTACCATCTTGCTTAAATTTTAAAGCACGCGAAAGGTCGTGTGACATGACAGAAATATCACTGGATGCTCATTGGTCCATCCTAGAAGCCACTCCCTCGGTGGCTACACAGATGTGCACTTGTGAAATATGCTCTCGGGGAGAAATGCCTATTTTTCCGTTTTCCTACTCTGAAATAAACCTAACGGCACTGTACGCATTTAATGAATTAATTAAGTTATTTAAGTTTAACTTTTAGCATCGATGTTGATCTTGACATTAGTTCCGTTAGAAAACTAAACTATTAGGTGAAACTTGGACTAACTGACTTAATCGTGTTATTTTCTAGAAGATCAGGAAACCTGTGTAGAGACCACTTTCTTCTGCAACGATTGTTCTTCTTAAAAAGTAAAATTTTCATCTCTTCTTAAATATTTATTTTTTACAACATATTTATTCAAAGCATGTT